AAACTACGCCCATGCCACATTGAAAGGCTTTTTTTCATCCCACCGAATATCTTTATCTTTTTCCCTTTTCCTATTTCTGTTTTTTTTGCTCCGGATAGCTATTTTTCTGGCGCTCCATCTTGTTGTCAAGTGCACCACGAGTGACAGTTTGATTAAAAAAAAAGAAACATAAAAAGCATGCCTGGGTGCGTTCGCTTAGGGGTTTGTGCCAAAGCCACCTGTGTGGGAAGGGAGAGCGATAGGAGGGGAGGTGAAGGATCAGGGGGGCACGTAATCAGTGCCGTCACTCTGTTATTGATCATTTTATCCTGTTAAGTATAGAAAATGCCAACTAGAAAAATAATTTTTCTAGTTGGGGTTTTGATTCCCTCTCTAGTTGATTCCCCTATGTGTCGCATACACTGCATACCCACTTTTTGCGCCACTGCCACTTCATGGCATGTTTGGAAACAATCATCTGATTCTGAATTTTAACAAAAACAGGGGAGATGATTGTAGATTTCACCAGAAATAGGGACAGATCAAAAACTATTACTATTCTGGGAGAAGTGGTGGTGAAAGAGTATAACTACAGGGACAATAAACAACATTTTTTTTTATTATTATTCTTTTACTGACCATTTAGCCGTGACCCACTTTAAGCAATTCTATCAAGAAACAGACTGAAAAAAAATTATTAACGTTGTGCCTTTGAATCATAAAGGAATTCAATTGAAAAAACTTTGTTAGTTATATCTAGCAAATCCAAACAGGGTTCATCCCATCATACTTATTATATGCAAACATTCACAGAACAATATGCCTATTGGTGCCCTGGTGCAAAAATATACATGACAATTGGAAGCTGGGTTTGAAAGCACCACTTTGAGTTTGCAGGGTGAATATTCTCCCCACTGAGCCATGGAAAAAAAAAGAAAAAGAAAGAAAGCAGAGTCTTTATTCTGATGTATAGCAAACACAAATTATTTGGGTAATCCTCACTGACTAAAACCTGAAAGGTTTAGTGTGATCTATTGTAAGCAAAATGGTTGAGAAATATAAAAAGATAATTTTTTCTTTATCCAAGTATGAAAAAAAAAACATGGTTTCAACTATATGTTGAGAATGAAAAATTACAGTGATAGCATTAATGCCATACTGTTTGTACAGGGGAGCCAGCCTGCTGTCTCCGTGTCGTCTTACTCATTTCCCCTCACACACGCGACCTTTGACCTCTGACCTGGCAGGTCAAATAAAGCATCAACACCGGATACGCTCATGATTCTGCATGCCAAATGCATATATATACAGCCATCGAAATGTGCTCAGTATTGCAGTGGACAAGAATACGTTTCTATTTCAACAGAGAGAAAAGGAAAGAGGGGAAGATGTAGGGAAGAAGAAGAGAAGCAAAGTTGAGCAAAGTTGAAGAAAGGAAAGGAAGGAAGTGAATGAGTAATGACTGCAGCAAAAAATAAATAAATAAAAGGAAACCAAAATACATACAGAGTTCGGATGAAGAAGAGCTGTTTCATACTGGAGACGAACTCTCTGAGGCAACATAATGTCATCCTGCAACAGAAGGCAAATAACGGAAAACAAATCATAATTTCTCAACTTCTGCAGCAGGAAACAGGCTCCCCCTTCTAAATATAACTTCAGGTTCTAATCATCCTGTATTTTTTGTATTTATGAAATGATAAAAGTATTCAAACTTCAGATGTTGGAAGGGCCATCCAAAATCCCCCTGCCTGTGCACTGACACACATAGTGCTCTGGAAACCATTGATTTTGCACACCTACAAACAAAGTACAACCTTGCTGCTTCCACGGTATTTGAAATACAAAACAGCAAACAGGGGTTGCTAATTTATTTCCCTTTAATGACTGATCGTCAGTATTGCGACTGCTGCTTTAGAGCAGGAATTTTACGGCTTTGCTGCTCCTGTGAACACAGAACATGAGTACAGACAGAGAGAAAACACATTAGACCTGCCCTAGGAGAAGCACCTGCTGCTGCCCATTCATTTTGGAAAGGTTAGAAAAACACTATGAAATGTTTCAAAATATTGTCAATTATTTAAAGAATTGAGAGCCCATGCAATGCTCAGAAAGACTGCAAGACCCAGTTAGCCTGCTACATGCTAAAGGTCATATGTTTAGAAAAAGACTGAAGAATCTTCCTTCAGGGTGTGAAAGAGTTTTAAGAATATAGCATTACAGCGTAACCTCTAGAAAAAGGTTTTTAAAGGAAGTAGACTAAGGTGGGGACAGCAACAACATGAAGCATCATGTGTATTGAAAACCAAATAAAGCACTCTAGGAGAAACAGCTCTCACCAACTAATAGTGATGAAGAAGGTTTTATATTTTTGGTTGTTTTTTGGTGCTACAGCGCCCAAACACCTTGGCCCTGTTTCTAATTGTGGCTTAACTTAGTCAAAGGAGAGAGCAGTTAGCCTGCGGCGGCCTTGTTATATCAATGATTTTTGGGTTTCAGAACAGGTAATATATACAAGGTAATTCAAGTCTGAGTCAAGTCATGCAAGAGTGTACGGGAAGTACGAGCATAATAAGAAGCCCTCCACAATGGAACACAGAAATCTCAATCGTCCATGTTAAGAAGAGAAAACAAAAAGCTTCAAATTTCAGTTTCTCGCAAGCGGAACTTTAAATATCATTCAAAGGATCTGGAGATTCTCAAAACATATTTAACAAAAAACTGATACCGTTTCTGCTGCAATATGGTCATATACTGTAGTAGAGAGAGTCAAAGCTATATCCTCATAACTGCACTTATATAACATGAAATAAGTCTGTGAGCAATAGCTTTGTTTAGGTCTAACCCTGCTGGGTTACACCTTGACACAGGAAATATGACTTGCCGTGTTTAGGTACTTTCTATCTGTGTCCTACTGTCACACTTTAATCTCACATCCCTGTTAGTTTGCCTTTAGCATAAAAAAGTGCAGCATAAAGACCTTGTTCTTGTATCATATGAGCAATCTGAAGCAGAAATGTAAAAAAATTAGATAAATTAATAATTATGGACCTGTTTTCAGATTAATTTGCATGCTTTCTAAGCCATAATAAGGTTTTTGTTGAGATACTATATAAGGCCTGGAACTCATGCAACTCCACACATTTTTAATTGAAAAAGCTTCCTGGATGGAAAGCGAAATGTTTTCAAACTTGTAAAGCAAAGTCCAGTGGTTTGTTTTTAACTTTTTTGGAATAACTATGACATGGATGACTGAGAATCTTTACCAGAGATAAATGATTGACTCTAGCTGAAACAGCGATGCTCAAATATCTATGAATCTGTAATTCAAAAAAGACAAATGTAATAGTGGTCCTTGCTTTCCAACATCTACGGGCTTCTCCTGCAGAAGATACACCATCTCTGGCACTTATCTCATGTCAGGAATGTTACCTAACAAAGCTGGTTCATGGAGTGACTTGTGGGATTGACTCAACTAAGGATATTGGCATTCTGGAAGGTATATAAGGAACATATAAAAGACTAAATAAAAAATAAGATTTAAAAGGACAAGAGGCAAATCTACGACTAGCAGAATCTGTAGCTAAAACTAATTTTTTTTTGAGTTTTTTTAATTCTGTGTAAATAGAAATAGAGTAAATAGAAACAAAGAAATGTGATTCTAAGGAATGCTATTTTAATGCACCTTACAATCTCATACCGTTTCCTCAATAACTACTATAACCAGACATGTGTTGAGACATTTAACGACGTACAATGGGATTCTACAGGTTTAAGTTTTATATAAAAACTTTGTGTTGTGAAAGTTCCCTCAAACCAAACAATGCTGGCTGAAAGTTGTTCTTAATGTATATTTCAGTGAAATAAATCTAGTGCATTGGAACTAGTGTTTCCCTTAAGGACAGCTGGGTGACTGTGTGAGCCATACCTACCGCATCCTGAAAGCACAAGTATCGTCCACTACTCTGAGCCACAGCCTTATTCTTTGCAAAACCCACTGGAAGACAAAAAAGCACATCATGTTTGGGGGTCCAGGATAAAAGAAAAAAAAGGATTACACAAAATTACCATTGCTAGAATAAAAACATTAAATCCTAAATTTTCAGAAAAAAAATCATTCTGAAAAAATTGCAAACAGAATATGAAGACATAACGAAAATCTGAAACCAAAATCACCTCAATAAGCCACTGAGCCTTCCTTACAGCACAGGCCCCTGTAGGCCACAGAATGAGTGAGAGAACACTAAGCTGAAATGATATAATCAGCTACTAGATAAACTGACCTCCTCTTGGTTGGGAGGAATCATGACCAGAGATCACCACTGAGATCCCTCTGTCTTCCATCCTCTGCCTCCAACTCTCCAGCACTTTCCTCGAGTCATCCTGAGTCATATGCACATAGAATAATTGTATGTCCCCAGCTGTAGATTACAGTTCATATGTATAAACATGCAAACAACCCAAAACCTAATTAAACATACTGTGCTTGCATCGTCAAACACTGAGAGCTCCATGGAGCCAACAAAGTCTTGGTGAAATACAGCTTGCAGACACTCCTCCAGCCAACATGATGCATTGTGCACCGGCATGATAACACTCTGCAGTGAAAGAGGAAATGGTGAAAGTTCACAATCAGTACAAATACTTGATGTTGTGGCAACCAAAGAAAAACAGCAACCAAGGGCACCAGTATAAACCAGGGGGAAGGGAAGTGATCCTGAAGATGACTAAAGCTTACTTCTTACCACATAACCAGCAGCTTATAATCAGTAAACCCAGTAGTTTAGGTGGAATTGTCCAGCTTAAGGTTCATTAGTTTGGGACATTTGAAAATCAAGTGATTGTTGTTTTTTTCTTTCAATGTTGTGTATTGATATACATCAGTGACATTATATAATTGCAGAAGTTGGAAGCCTTAAAGACTATTTATTTATTTTGATCAGTGCAATGTGTCTATCACCCACCACATCCACTGTCTTCCTCTCCTCAGCCTCCCCTGGCTCTCCTCCTCCTCTCCTCTCTCCATCTTCCTCCGCTCTCCGGAGCCGCTTCGTTGGACTCGTGTCCATCACAGACCTCCCCTCCAGCTCATCCAAGTCCCCACTACTCTATTCCCTTCCAGCGGACGCCTCGCTTCAGCTTAGCTGCTCACATCTGACATGAAACGGGGACTATTTACAGTAGAGGGAGTGAGCCATTGAGCAAACACGTGTGTAAGAATGTCATTTAAAATGCATTTCGAAACAGATATAGCGATATTAACTGTATTTAGGGCGACAATGCATTAATACAACCTCTTTCGATTGGTTCGACTATAGCTTATATGCCATTTTATAAATTTTGATGAGATGGGATTTGTAAACATTACATTCCGTACTAACTTCCGCATTCAGTAAATCTAGGTAGCTGATTGGCTGTAGCAAAACACGGACAGACGCCGGATTGGCTCAGTTTGCTTCCAGTTTTCTTCTTCTTGTTGAAATGTTTATGGCGGTTGGCAAATACGTTAGGTGACCATTACCGCCACCAACTGGTAGTTGTGTGAACCACATGGCAAAAAAACAAAAAAAACCCAAAAAATCTGTTTCAAAAACTCAAATATAAACTGATATCCTCTGCTTCCTGATTCCTTTTGCAGTAAATCAACAATGTCAAGTTTCATTTTCATATTACTAAGTTTCCTAATTAACTTGTTTCTCTGATTGAAAATTGTTCTTACAACTCAAAATAACATTATCCACTGTCTCATCTTCACCACAGTCACATTTCCCTGTCTGATGTTTCCCTAATAAAAACAATGACCTATTCAATCCTGTGTGTCCTATTCTAAGACATGAAATAATGATCTCTTCTCTCCTGTTCCTCTCTTCGCATTTGTCCAATTACCTTTTGGATTTCATAGAACCCCCTTCCTTTCTTTTCTTTTCTTTCCATAACTTTTGCCACCTCTCTTTTGTTTTTTTGTCTAATTATACCCTTTATTTCAGCCTATATCCCCAAAAATAACAGTGACAGACTGTGGATTGCTAAAAAATACATAAGTAAATTATATATAATTCTACTACTTATTTCATGCTACATTTATTTATTTCATGATATATTAGGGTCCTCCATGTAGCTCCGGGATCACATATTTTGACCCCCCCCCCACACACACACACACAGCCGACTAATTATTCCCACATTGTATCTTTCTCTGCCCTAGCTTTACATTAGTCTGTAAACCTCTTGATTTGGAAGATTGCCTCTCTACAGGCCAGTAAAAATAGCCCCAGGGTTATATAAATACTCAGATATACAGGATTATAGGTATTTTTCATTGATGTATTGGTATATCAAAGCTGCTCTTACAGAGTGTTAAGGGGCTGTTTACACTTTTGGCTTTTGTGAGTGTTTGAAACATTGTGTGAACAAACAAATTTCACTCATTTAGACTTGAAACAAGCCAGATATTAAATGTGGACTAGAGATGGATAACTGCACACAGCAACACATATTTGCCTCATGTACAATTATTTGAGAAGTTCAGACCGAGGTTAGCATTCAGATTGATGACATAGAGAGTTTTGTCCTGCAGGTTCATGATGTCTCTAATCCGTCTGTGGGCTCTTTTGCAATGTAAAATAATTTTACTCTTAAGACTGTTCCCCACAGTAACTCACAACTGTTTTTTATGCTCTTCTCCTCCAAAAAAATTAACACCACATTACGAAGTTAATCACAAGTGTCTACACCAGTTGATTTCAATTAGCAAGAGGCGGATGGTGCATCTGCTTTAAGCTGGGATCATGGCTGAGTTTTGGCACAAATTTGAGCCGTGAGAGTCAAACTGATAAATTAAGTGTGTGCATTTGTGAAGTCATGATCACATTTTCAGTAGTTTCTATTTACTCATTACTTCCAATTTTTATTGCATTAGTCAATGCAGGTGATGGATGCATGGATGGATGGATGGATGGATGGATGGATGG